AGGGAAGGGTCGGATAGGAAGGAGGGAGAGGAAGAGAAGAATAATGAACGAGGGAAGAGGGAGAGCGGAGAAGAAATGAAAGGTGGAGAGGGAGAGAGAAATGAAGAGGGAGGGAGAGAGAGAAATGAAGAGGAGAGGAGATGAGAATATGAAGAGGGAGAGGAGAGGAATATTGAGACGGGAGGTGGAGTAAGGTACGAGAGAGGAGGAGTTGCAGGAGGAGTGCATGATGCACTATTCTACGAAAAAAGTCCACACTTTTTTACTATAACTGTAGCCCTGAAGATTCATACTATAACAGATCTAAATTACCTTACGAAGTTAACATGCATAATGAATACAAATGCGTGAGACTGAACATTAGTGCAATCTGACATACTGTAAAGACCATCCATTACCCGTTATATATATACATTTTTTATACACATTCGTAGTTTCATTTATGAACAATAACTAAATAGAAAGATTTTTAAAATCCTATTATATAGAACACACCAAAACAAGATGCTCTGTAATGATACTGAATCATGTGGACCTTCTGATATTTTGTGGGTATGACTGAGCAAAAGGCTGACACCTGCTGAATGTAATTTAAGGACAAAAGGACATTTATAAATGCACATGTTGATTATTACCTGGCGTAAGATTTTTTTCAATATATAGGTTACGTGGAAATATCAGACATACTCTCAGAATTAATCAAACATTTCTCCATTTTCAAAGGAGAATTTCTTCAACAAATAAGGACATGAATATGAGATAAAAAGAAGTTAATATGAAAAGATACCTAAGACAATTATGGAGAGAACATCATACTAGAAAGCCCAATTACAAAGGACTAATATCTCAAATTCAAAGACAATTTTCCTCTATCATGTAAGTGTCAGATTTAATAATCCTTTTCTTTGCATGAAGTATCAATAGATAAATCTTGCCATTAATCCTGTCTACATGCATTTGGGCCATGACAGCCATGAGCTAAATGCCAAATTTTTTATTACTAACCTACCCATGTTTTGTTTATTATCATTATCATTTATCCATCAAAATGATAATCATTATCACATTTTGCAAAAGGCTCAGTAAACCACATGATACAACATGTTTTGGAATTCATCAGTCTATCAATGTCATGAACTGTTTACCTTGAATCATATGCCTTTGAAACTAATTACACATGACAAAGTCTTAAGAAGATATAAACCTATAGGACATACCTGGAATAAGCATGCACAAAGACTGAGATATATATATAAAAAAGTAATGACTATAATAACACCCAAAAGAATACTAAACAGAATTAAAATAATCAGCTGATAAAGAAAGGCCCCATATCAAAGTCTGCAAATCTATGTGCTGTAAAGATTAGCAGGTCCATGCTCTCTACTTTTCATACTGGCAAGGCAATCAAACCTCCAGATATATTCAAGCAATGATATAGCTTCGCTTCCCTTGTGATTATTCATTATATAAGAAACCAGTCACAAATTTTACATTGCTGAATTTACCAAAGGAAGATGTGTTGGTCTTTGTCAGAACATAAGAAGCAGAGGTCTGACATACTTTTCATCCTATTCTGAGTAAAATTACAAACAAGTGGAAGAGCAATTTTATATTCTTTAGCACCATTTAGCTATTTGTTTCTCTTATTTTCCTCTGGAGGGATCAAAAGGCTATCCATTAACAAAACAAATTCAAGATTTTACAGACAGCTGAATCCATCTGCTATCCAAATACCATAACTTTTGTTCTAATAAAATATTGCAAACTATTATCCTGTTAGATCTGGATGATGTGACTATCACATCAAAAAAATTTAGTCGAGAACTGGGTGACAGGTATATATCATGGAAAAATCTCTACAAGGACGGGTGATGGGAATGTAGTTATCATGAAAAAATTGGCTGAAAGTAAGGGTGACTGCAACGACTCGCTGAAAGTGCACAAACCCTACTGGGGACAATTAAGAGTTTGGGAATATTTAAGGGAAGGGGCTTTTGGCAATTATGTTCCACCTGTAAACCATGGGTTGGAATGTACCATCTGTAAGCCATGCCTGGAAGAAGGGCTAGCTTCAAGGAGAACACCATTCCATCTACAGGATCCCCAGTCCTACCTAATGTGACCACCAGTGCAGGGTATATTACAGAAAATCTAATATCATGATATAAAAATATGACACAAATAACAAAATCTTACTGTTAGTTGTAAAACTACCTTGAGAAATGATATGGAGGTTCATGACAATGGAAAACATCTTCATACAGCATATTAAAATGACAAAATATAGACCCTTGGGAAAAAAGCAAAAAATGCTTATGCAGAAAAGAGATAACAACATTGCAAAAGGAAGAAGACAAGGAGTCTTGAAAATCAATTAATAATAATCATAATAATTTCAAAATAATAATAAATATTGATAATTCAAAATATCAATAATATTAATAATCCAAAATATTAATAATAATAATAATCAAACTATAATTTTATAAAGCAATAAGAACAAACAAACATGATACCACCAACACAAAACTTGAAACTATAATAAAATACGAAGAATCTGTCAGACCTAAATTTTTTTAAGACGGCATTCGCTCAGGGTCACAGGCAGTGCCATAGAAGTGCTACTTAAAGAAAGTATCTGGTGGATGGGCGGGGTGAGTGAAAATGTTGGGTGGGGCGGGGTGAGTAATGAATGAGTGGAGTCAGTAATATGACGAGAGAGAGAGAGAGAGAGAGAGAGAGAGAGAGAGAGAGAGAGATGAAGAGAAGAAGAGAGAGAGAGAGAGAGAGAGAGAGAGAGGAGAGAGACAAGAGAGAGTGAGAGAGAGAGAAAGGAGAGAGATGAGAGAGAGGGAGAGAGAGAAAGAGAGAGGAGGAAGACGAGAAGAGAGAGAGAGAGGAGGGAGAGAGAGACGAGAGAGAGAGGAGAGAGTGAATAGAGGAAGAGAAAGAGGAGGGAGAAAGACTTGATGACGAGAGGAGAGGAGAGGCGAGAGAGGAGAGAGAGAGAAGAGAGGACGAAGTTGGAGATGAGAGATGAGAGGAGAAAGACGAGGAAAGATGAGAAAGAGAGAAAGAGAGAAGTAAAGAGAAGAGAGAGAGAGAGAGAGAGGAGATTCAGAGAGAGAGAGAGAGAGAGAGAGAGAGAGAGAGAGAGAGAGAGAGAGGAGAGAGAGAGAGAGAAGAGAGAGAGGAAAAGAAGAGAGAGAAAGGAGAGAGAGTGAAGAGGGGGAAAGAGAGAGAGGAGAGGAGAAGAGAAAAGTGAAGGAGAGAAGTGAGAGAGAGAGAGAGAGAGAGAGGAGAGAGAGAGAGAGAGAGAAGATAGAGAGAGAGACTGAGAGAGAGAGAGAGAGAGAGAGCAGAGACAGAGGAGAGAGAGAGAGACAGAGAGAGAGAGAGAGAGAGAAGAGACGAGGAGGAGAGAGAGAGAGAGAGAGAGAGAGAGAGAGAGACGAGAGAGAGAGAGAGAGAGAAGAAGAGAGAGAGGAGAGAGAGAGAGAGAGAGAGAGGGAGAGTGAGAGAGAGTGAGAGAGAGAGAGAGAGAGAGAGAGAGAGAGAGAGAGAGAGAGAGAGAGAGGAGAGAGAGAGAGAGAGAGAGAGAGAGAGAGAGACAGAGAGAGAGAGACAGAGAGAGACAGAGAGAGACAGAGAGAGACAGAGGAGAGAGAGAGAGAGAGAGAGAGGAGAGAGAGAGAGAGAGGAGAGAGAGAGAGAAGGGAGAAGAGAGAGAGAGAGAGAGAGAGAGAAGAGTGAGAGATGAGAGTGAGAGAGAGTGAGAGAGAGAGAGAGGAGAGAGAGAGAGAGAGAGAGAGAGAAGAGAGAGAGAGAGAGAGAGAAGAGAGTGAGAGAGAGAGAGAGAGAGAAGAGAGAGAGAGATGAGAGAAGTGAGAGAGAGAGAGTGAGAGAGAGAGAGTGATGAGAGAGAGAGTGAGAGAGAGGAGAGTGATTAGTGAGTGATTAGCGAATGATTAATGTGTGCGTGATTTGAGTGAGTCGGGTTGGTTAGTGAGTGAATTGGGTGGGTGGGTGAGTGAGTGAGAGAGATTGGTTGGTCAGTGAATGCGTGAGTGATTAGCGAATGATTAATGTGTGCATGAGTTGAGTGAGTCAGGTGGGTTAGTGAGTGAATTGGGTGGGTGGTAAATGAAGTGAGTGAGTGAGGGTGAATGAGTGAGTGGGATGAAATTAGTGTGTGATGAGGTGAATGAGTAAGTGAGTGGGATGAATGAGTGAGGTGAATGAGTCAGTGAAGTAAATGAGTGAGGTGAATGAGTGAGTTAGTGAGGTAAATGAGTATTAGTGAGATGAATAAGTAAGGTGAGTGAGTGAGTGAGGTGAATGAGTGAGTGAGTGAATGAGTGAGAGTGAGATGAATGAGTGAAGAGTGAGGTATGAAGAGTGAGAGTGAGATGAATGAGTAAGTGAGGTGAATGAGTGAGTGAGGTGAATGAGTGAGTGAGGTGAATGAGTTGAGTGAGGTGATGATGTGAAGTGAGTGAAGTGAGTGAGTGAATGACTGAGTGGGGTGAATGAATGAGTGGGATGAATAAGTAAGTATGGGTGAAAGAGTGTGAATGAATGAGAGAGTGGAATGAATGTGTGAATGAGTGTGTGAGTGATTGGGGTGAATAAGTGAGTGAGTGGGGTGAATAAGTGAGTGAGTGGGGTGAATGAGTGAGTGAGTGGGGTGAATAGGTGAGTGAATGAGTGGGATGAATAAGTGAAAATGATAATAGTGAATAGAAGAATGATTGTGAAAGCGAGTGAGAATGTGAGTAACAGAATCAAAATCAGAGTGAACGAGCTTGAACATGCCAGTGAGAGTGAGTGGCAGGAACTGTGAGTGACAATGACAGTAAGTCTGAATGAGACAACAAGAAAATATAAAATAAATGAGACAAGGATGAGAATTTAAGATGTGAGAGTAACTGCGAAACTACAAGATAAGAGTGATGTATGAAAGGAACAGTGAGACTGAAAGAGAATGTTAAGTGACA